GCCGAGACACACCACGGTCCCGCCGCCTGCGTCCTCCGTGGCAAGAAAAGCCGCTCCGCGTCTCCCTGGTCTGCTGGGGGGAAGCGCTCCCCGTGCCGCCAGAGGCGGCGACAGGGGGGGGGGCACCCCGCACCAGCTGCGCCCCCCCATTTGTAACTAGGGATCCGACGTAAGTCGGATTGATGTAACCCGGGGACTGCCTGTATTAAAAAACACTCAAAAGGTACATTATGAATTAGCATAGGTAAGTCTAATATTTATGAGCAATTAACTCATCTGGAAAAGATCACTCAAGAGAAATCCACAGGGATAAAACATAATCCTTATAGCACATATTTGAAGGTTGACATTACTTTTGTGATTGTCTTCATACAATAATAAATAAGGGACAACTGTTTTACAAGTATAGTTTGCATTTGTTCCTCAGTAGCTAGCTTTCGAAGTGTCTTGCTAAGGAGGAATACTATTTGTTTATTTTTGTTTTCTCATCCTTCTAAGCTGCAAAAAGATGACAAGAAGTTTTTCCCAGAAAGTTCAGGTCTGAATACATTTCAGCCACAGAACATGGACACGCATGCACACACATCCTCTCAGACACACCATTATTCCGCACCTTTATCTGAAGAGAATTATGATTTTTAAGCAGGTGAACCAATATTGGTAAGGCCTGTTCCTCCACTATGTTTTCCTGGCTGACTGGATTATTTGTATGAGCCACACCTGTAAGAGTCTTCATGTTAGATATATTGCATGCAAGACATTTGTGCAAGAAAAAAACAGAAAACATAAACAAAAATTGTCCAGTTTATACCTAATTATGGAAGATTATGTAAGAATAATAGTACAATACTCTTTTTTACTTGAAATAACTTAATATCACAGCTAATCCAGGTTTCTACCTTTATATACAAGGAAAAAGGTATGCCTGGCTTCTGTTGACCACAGCTCCCTAGAAAAAGATACATGGAGAAAAGGAGGGTGCGCCTGGAATAAAATCAGAAAAGCCCATTGCAAATGGTGAATTTTCACCAACATGGTTCCACACATTAAGTCTTAGAGACTGTAATAAGCACTAATTATCCCAAAAGTTAGCTGCCTGAGGGTAATTCTAGTTATGGAGAATCTAGAGAACCATTTTGCTTTCCCACCAAATTAAAAGCAGTTCGTCCTACCCAAAATAACAGTCCTGCCTACATCTAAGTAACAATTTCTAAATATATGCACAGACACTTAACATTTCAGAGACTTGACTAAAGCTTATTTTATGTGTCACTTTCATTCTTGTGTATGAATATAGAAATCTTCTAGGATCTAGGTACCTCTGCTTCCTTGTAGTTGGCTACAAAGCACTTGACTATTTCAGATTTATCAATTACAGGTTGGACCTCTCTAGTTGAGCACCCTGGGGATCTGACAGGTCCTGGATGAGGGATTTTGCTGGACCAGGGAGGTCATTTCTGGCCCTCCTGCTACTGCCACTCCCCATTCCAGCCCTGGACTGGCCACTGGCCTCCCAGTCAGCTCCCTCCCTCCTGTCACCAGCCACACAGCCCTGTCGGTTTCTCCCTCCTCCTTTGGCTAAGCCAAGCAGCCCAACTCCTAGTGCACTGGGCTCCCAGTCCTGCAAAGCTGCCCTGCTGCTGTGCCCTGGCCTACAGCCCTGCCAGGCAGCCCTATTGCCACAGCTGGGCTCATGATCCTGCCTGGCAGCCCAGTTGCAGGGAGCCCAGTCACTAGCCCTCTACCAGGACTCTCTGGTCCTGGAACATCTGTGGTACTTCTGGGTCATAGATGTTGCCAGACCAGAGAGTCACAGCTTTCAGAGGTTCAATCTGTAGTATGGTTTATCCAGCTTACCTAGCCTCATATGTCAAGAAGAGACTGGACAAAGCTTTATTTAAGACAACAAATACATTTTGCAAAACATGAAGATTCATTTCACATCTGTTCTAAAAACATGCTATTTTTTACATGAATGAAGATTAGTGAGAAAGGAAAATGATCTGATCTGGTTTATATTAAATTTCAAGACAGCATGGAAATTGGGATGAAAATACTGGACTAACTTATTTTTATGAAATACCCAAAAGAGTTTAGACTAAAAGATTTAGAAGGCCTGTTAATTTTCCTGTAGTATATGATGACAACAAAAATGCTCTTTAGCAAGGTTTGAAATTGGGGAGGAGTGCTGGAACTCTCCAAACAAGCTGTATATTCAAAAAATCACATTTTCAGCATCCTCCTCTTCCCATTAGTCATATCCACTTTCACATGCCTCTCTCATAACAACAGCGTTAACATATGAGTCTATGGTTTTCCAGCATGACAGTTAAATGGGTGGACACACTGTAAAAAACACTTTGCTTTAAAAGAAACCTGAAAAACAAGAGTGATTTTGTGCATTTTTTCTTCTTAATTATATATTTTTTAAAAGTAATGAAAGGGAGGCAATTCCTATGGGGAAAAAGTATTTTTCCACCTTTGCTTTTACTTAAAAATCCAGGTTTTGTGGACTTCAGAAAATTCTGTGATAGTTGGAAAACTAGCAGGTTTTTACATCAGAGCAAATGTAAAAGTAAAACTTTCAATAACTGAAACAGGAAATTATTTTTATTCAAACGTTGTAAGACACTGGCTTTCGGCTTTTTGTTTGTTTGTTTTGCTAACACCTATTTAAATATGGAAGAAAACATGCTGTTATTAAGGATTCAACATCTTAATTTAAGGGTTGTGCAAAGCACACAATCCACGTATTTAAGTTATCAAAGTTTTCCAACAAAAAGAGACATGATGAGATTTGTATTTTGAGAATGAAAACAAGAATAAAGAACTTTCAGGACTTTTTTATACAATATAAGGAAATAAGGAAGTCTAAATTTAATATTTTTAATTTTACAATACTCCAAAGTAAAGTCACATTGCAGTCCCAAAGAGTTTATATGACACAACAAATAAAGGTACTAAAAAACTAAGCAGGTAGGATATGACAAGAATTACAAAAGTAGAAACTCATGAACAGCCAGAAAACAAGACCAGTAGCTAAAAGACTTTATGTTGTAAACTACATGTACATATCCACCAAGGAGTAAGCAGGTCATGTACCAGAAATGAAGGTTACTTACCTTGTGCAGCTACTGGAGTTCTTTGAGATGGTGTCCCCATGGATGCTTCATGCTTGGTCTTGATGCTGTCCCATTGCCTGGATTGGAGATTTTGAAGCAGTCTCTGCCGGGCCGCACATGCACAGCACGAACCAGCACATGCCAAGTTAGTACACACTGTGCATGCATGGCCCAATCACTCCAGTTGCTTCTCTACCCCTGAGGCCCTCCAGGTCTGAAGCAGAGGGGAGGAGAGTGGGTCATGAAGCATCCACAGGGACATCATCTCGAAGAACTCCAGTTACTGCACAAGGTGAGTAACCTTTATTACTTCTTCAAGAGATCCCTGTGGATGCTCCACTCTTGGTGATTAGCAAGCAGTTTCACCCCATGGTGGCTGGGGCTTTGGAATATTATGGTAAGTGAATGATAGCACAGTGGAGCCCACCGAGGTGTCACCCATGTATGAAAGTGCATAGTGCTTAGCAAAGGTAAGTTGTGATGCCCAAGTGGCTGCCTTGCAAATGTCCATTAGCGGCATGTTGCAAAGATACTGTGGAAACCATTTCATATTTATCTAGAAGCCATTCTGTATAACAGAAATCCATTTCAGTTTCTTGCTTTTGCACGTACGCCAGTGAGTGAACTGACCTTCACCAATGTAAGAAAAAAGCCAGAAAGATGAGCTGTTGGAATGTGTTAATGAATCATTTTGAGTCGAAACTCTCACTCCCTAAAACTTGTTTCTTTCTTTGCTGATAACCATTTCTCTTTGAAGTTTGCTTTGATGGTATGCCCTGGCATCAAACTTGTTTGGTTAAGGGTATAAAATACTAGGACTGATTGTGTTGAGCAGCCTTACTGGGCCCAGCTCTGCTGGGACCACGTTTGGCTCACTTTGTGCCTTATTGATCAATAAAGCTGTTTGTTAGCTGCCTAACCACATAGGAGCTTATTTTGCTTCAACAATACACAGTAGAAGAGGATACGGCCCTGGTGGAATGAGCTGTCAAGCGTATTGGTGGCTGTAGGCCCTTGAGAGTGTAAGAGATTTTTATACAGTCTGTAATCCATTTCAACGGTCTCTGTTTCGCTCGGTGAACGTGAGGAATAGGCAGAGTGATTGTCTGCAGGGCCAAGTTCTTTGTAGATAAAAGGCCAATGCTCATTGAACATTGAGGGTGTGCATGGAAGTCTCAAATGCATCTGTGTGTGGCTTTGGGAAGAATACAGGTAGGTTTATGGGTTAGTTTATATGAAATGATGAAGGAACCTTAGGTAAGCATTTTGGGAGTGTGAGAAGGGTAACTTTATCAGGGTGAAATAATATAAAAGATGGGTCGGCCATGAGTGCCACTCTGTCTCCGACATGGTGAGCCGATGTGATGGCAACCAGGAATGCAACCTTCATGGAGAGGTGCAAAAGGGACCAGGAGATGAGAGGCTCAAAAGGCATCCTGGTTAGGGCTCGCAGTACCAGCCTGAGGTCCCAGGGGAGGCACTGGTTGTGTGATATCAGGATGTAAGAGATGCAGACCCTTGAGAAACCTTTTAGTTGTGGGCTGAGTAAAAATGGAGCAGCCGTCAATTTTGTGGTGGAAGGCTGTAATGGCCACTAGGTGTAGCTACATGGAACTAAACAAGAGTGATAATTGCTTTAAGGTGAATAGATATTTAAGGATAAAAGACAGGGGTGTTGATATTGGGTCCTGTCCTTTCGAAGTACACCACGCTTAGAATCGTTTCCACTTGTAGGTGGTGTAGGAGGCATGAGTAGAATCCTCCAGCTGTGTATGAATATTATCCAAATCTGTTCCGGGAGGTCTAGTTCTAAGTGAGAAAGCCATAGAGGAGCCATGCTGTTAGCTGTAGCTTACATAGATCCAGGAAGGTTTGGGTTGTCTGACCCAGAGTGATGAGATTGCATTGGAGAAGGAGAGGGAGCCATCCACTCTGACCTTCTGAATGACTTTGGCAAGAAATGGTATGGGCAGGGGGAAGGCGTAAGCAAGATCATGACTCCATTGAATGAGGAAGACATCCCTGATAGATCCTATCTTATGCCCGCTCTTGAGCATTTGGTATTGTGAGGCGTTGCAAATAGATCTATTGATGGCCAGCTCTATTTGTGAAACAGGGAGCATGCTATCGAGGGGTTGAGCACCCATTTGTGATGTTGGGGAAAGTAGTGGAAGCCTCTGCCTCTGTGCTGCTGTGAGACAGGTTCTATGGCCCCTAGATCTAACAAATGAAGCATCTCTTGTCATAGCAGGGCATTGTGATAGGGGTCGCTGAAGAGGGATAGGATAGGAGGGTGGGTAGGAGGCTTGGAGAGGAACGGGATGGTGTAACCGGACAGAATAATGTCAAGCACCCATCTGTCTGAGATGATGTAAGCCCATTGGTGGTAGAATGGGCAGAGACGATTTTGGAAAGTTTGTGTGGTCATTCTCGGCATTTAAATTTGTAGGGGGTTTTCCAGGTCCTCGACCAAGCCTTCAAATTTGCTTGTTGGCCATTGGCAATTGAGAGGCTGAGCCTGATGTCTGCCTTTGTCTCTGAGGCCGGATTCGGTTTCTGTTGGGTTTGTTATCCTGCTGTTGGTTGAGATAGGCATGGTAGCATAGCCATTGATAGGGCTGATATTGGTATTGTCTATGCCGGTTGTTGGGCGTATGTATCCCTAATATGCGGAGAGTGGCACGCGAGTCCTTCATAGTGTTATGAACTTTGTTGATCTTAGCTGCAAATAGCTATTCATGATAAAATGGCAGGTCTTCCACTGTAGATTGAATCTCATGAGAGAACGTAGCTGGGGAGAACCAGAAAGCTCTACGTATCACAATGGCAGCGCCTGTGGTCCTAGCAGCAGGATCAGCAGCATCAAGAGCCACCTGGAGGCTCTTCAGAGAGCATGGCAGTGAATTGATTGATATCTCTCTGCCTCAGGAATGTCGTTAACAAAGTCCATGAATTTGGAGTAATTGCAAAAGGCGTACTTCACCAGCAAGGCTGAATAATTTGAAATTCTGAACTGTAAAGTTGCAGAAGTGTACATCTTGCGCCCAAATAGGTCTAGTCTCTGAGGGTATGGCTACACTAGCTTGTTAATTCGAGCTAGGTAGGCAAATCAGGCGACCGGAGTTACAAATGAAGCCCAGGATTTAAATATCCCGGGCTTTATTTCCATGTTCCCATCCAGTCGCCATTTTGAAATTTCACTCGCCCGAACTCACTGCCATGCGGCTACAATCAGCAGTGAAACGTTAATTCAAACTAAGTCCTTAGTTCGAATTAAATGTTACTTCTCATGGAATTCAGCCTCATGGAATGAGGAGTAACAGTTAATTCCAACTAAGGACTTAGTTCGAATTAAATGTTACTTCTCATGGAATTCAGCCTCATGGAATGAGGAGTAACAGTTAATTCCAACTAAGGACTTAGTTCGAATTAACGTTTCACTGCTGATTGTAGCCGCATGGCAGTGAGTTCGGGCGAGTGAAATTTCAAAATGGTGACCGGACAGGAACATGCAAATAAAGCCCGGGATGTTTAAATCTCGGGCTTCATTTGCAACTCCGGTCGCCTGATTTGCCTACCTAGCTCCAATTAATGAGCTAGTGTAGACATACCCTTAGGGTATGTCTAGACTACAGGCTTTTGTCGACAGAGACTTTGTTGACAGTTACCGTCGACAAAGCCTCTGTCGAAAAAGAGCATCTAGACTACAGCTAGTTCTGTCGACAAAGCAAGCCGCTTTTTCGACAAAGAGTCTAGACGCTCTCTTTTGAAAAAGCACAGTGTGGATGCAATAGTGCCTTTTTTTTAAATAACTCTGTGGAAAAAAGTGTTTTTCCTCATGGAATGAGGTTTACCACCGTCAACAAAACTGCTGCGTTCTGTCAACTTACTATTGACAGAACTCGGCGGTAGTGTAGACGCAGGTATAGTTTTGTTGAAAAAAGTCCACTTTTGTAGACAAACCCTGTAGTCTAGACACACCCTTAGTGTCTTTATCTGGTTGAGTGATGTGAAAGAGATGTTGTTTTGCCCACTGGTGTGCAATTTCCACTACTAAGTTCAGTGTGGGATGAGTAAAGAGAAATTCCTAGGCATTGGCGGATACATAGTATTTCTTGTCTGCTCATTTGCACGTAGGTGGGATTGATACAGAAGTTTGCCAGATTGTGTTGGCCAGGTCCAAAATGGCAGGGTTGATGGGGAGGGCAATTTTAGAAGATGAGGAGGCTTGGAGTGTATCTGTGAGCTCATGCTGGGGTTGCAAAACTTCCGCCATGGAAATTGTAATCTCAGCTGCAACTCTCTTAAAGAGATCATTAAAATGTTCAAAATTATCCACGGATGAAGGTGAAATCACAGCCTTATCCGGTGAAGACAATGAATTGGTAAGGGGTGACGTATCAGGAGGAAACTCCTCCATTGGTTGAGGCACTTGAGGATCTAACTGTTGCACCAATGAGATCATGCGTGGTGTGACAGAAGTAGCCTATTTGTAGGGGCTCGGTTGCACACTAAGGTGTCTCCTGTATGAGCCCCAGGGGAGTATGGCCATTGTGCAGGATGCGGTACCGGGGGAGGCATCCAGTGGTGTCAATACCATGGGGGAATCCCTCTTGAGTCATAGTGGGGTTTGTAATATTGTATTGGAGGGCTGCAGTGCAGAGAGAAGGAGGCTTGTACACCTTCCTCTTCATTGCTGGAAAATTGAGATGGCACCGGGGATAGGGTATATAGTGTTGTCAGTATTGGCGACAAATCAGTGTTGAAAAGTGGTGACTAAGGAGCATATGTCACTGCTAGGTCAGTGTTTCACATGTACGGCAACGGTACTGCAAGGATCAGTGCTGGGGTTTGCTGTATCTGTCTGTACGGTGCCGATGGTGTGTTCGGCACAGATGGAAGAGATCGCTGGTATGTTGGTGGTATTGAATATACAACCAGTGCCGCTGCTCTGGTCAGTGCTTATGGTGCTGAGCGAATGGGCGCTATCGGTGTGGAGGAAGCAGACAGTGCCGTCAGGTGCACCAGCAGTGCTGGAAGAGGTGGCAGTGTCATAGTTGCCGGTATCATTGAAGTCGTCAATACCAATGATGGATGTGATGGTACTGATATAGATGACGGTACTGTGACATGTACCGGTGCCATCTTAGGATGGTGTTTGGGCCCTTTGCAGTCAGTGCCACTGGCAGCCAACAGTGTCTGAATGCCTGAGGTAGCTGGAGCGTCGTAAGTGCTGATGTGGGACCTCTGTGCCAATGGTTTGGGCGGAGACCACTTTCTGGAGGAGGGCTGACAATGAGGCACTGAGGAATTCCTCTTTTTTGGTGCCTTTTTGCCCTGAGAGGAGCCTGGGGATGACTGTACCTCCCTTCACTGCATTCCCAGATCCAACGCAGGATGTGCATTTTTTTCCAGAAGGATCAACTTCAGACAAAGGTCCCTGTCTCTGAGTCCTGGCCTTGAGTTTGGCACAGTAGGGACAATCTTAGGATAAATGGTGCTCCCCTAAACATCTGATGCATTGCGAGTGCCCATCCAAGATGGGGTAGTGTCTCTGCAGAAGGTGCACCGTTTGAAGCCTAAAGAGCTGGACATGATGAAAACTTGTTTGTTTGTTTTTTAAATGAACTACAAGTAACTAACTAAATAAATAAGAACAGTACTAACTAACAATTGAGTTGTTATGACTAAGAACCACTTGAAGGCTGTGTCTAGACTACAGCCCTCTGCCGACAGAGGGATATAGATTAGGCACTCATTGTCTTATGAAATTCATATAGAAAGGCTCTTCTTTGAGAGGTCCCCGTGGATGCTCCACGCTTGGTCTTGGTACCGTCCCAGTGCCTGGGTCAGAGATTTTGAAGCAGTCCTTGCTGAGCTGCACATGCACAGCATGAACCAGCACGTGCCATGTTAGTAGACACCGCACATGCACAGCCTGATCCCTCCAGTTTCTTCTCAACCACTCTCAGCCTGAGATGGAGCTCTGCAGTTCTCTGCCTTATTTGACACTCTTTGGCTATGTCTAGACTGCATCCCTCTGCCAACAGAGGGATGCAAATCAAGAACTTTGGAAGTGCAAATGAGCCCGGGATTTAAATATCCCAGGCTTCATTTGCATACTCAAGTTTGGGCGCGGTGCCGATCACGCGCCCTTTCGAAAGTGAAAGTAAAGTCTAGCCACAGCTCTGCTGACAGTGGGGGAGCTTTTTTGGCAGATTTTTTGAGGAGTACAGGATCAGCCCAAACGTGAGTATGCAAATGAAGCCCAGGATATTTAAATCCCGGGCTCATTTGTACTTCCAAAGTGCTTGATTTGCATCCCTCTGTTTCATATCAGGATCAAGGGCTTTAAAAATGATTACCATAACAAAATTATGTAATGTACACAAAGATTTCATGGATGAATAAGTAAGAATTTTGTTCATGACATATGATTTTTCTTTATATTGAAAAGTTATATTTCAATTCCATTCTAATAGTAGTACTAAATAAACTATTTTTTTCTTTTTTCATTGCTATTGTTTCAAACTAGTTTGCATTTTTCCCCTTCAAAACTACTTAAGGTTAATTTTTGTTGTTGTTTTTAAACACCCTAAAACATAAAAAATTCTACAAACCAATACAAATGGTCCCCAAGGCTCTGATGACACTCAGGAGCGTGCCCTCTGCTATCTTTGTGCTTCTCAGCAATCGAACCAAAGGGCCAATTCCATTCCCTTCACATATTTGATTTTGATGAAGCCTGCTGTCTTTGCTAAGTGCTATTACTGCTTCACCTCCTTCCAAAACAAAGAAAAAATGTATGTTTAAAAACATCAATAAACTGTCCAATATTTTGCAAATTTATAAAAAACAAAACCAATATCTTACCAACATACTGCATTTTATCAGATGGTGACAAAAGCATATCAATAATAAAGTTGTACCCAATCTGTTCTGCCATCAATTTTTGCTGCTTCAGTGTTTGTCCTGCCAGTGCCCACAAAGTTGTAGCACCTTGTTCCTTAACTGTCAAGTGAAATGCCTGAAAATTTGAAAAAAGCAAAGATTTTCTTTCACTGACAGAATTTTAAATCTTACACATTTAAAAAACTATTTTCTCTATGATACTGATGGTTTTTCAATTAATCCAAGTAACACAGCCTATTTTGCACTTTTTTCCAATGAAAAAAATGTCTTAAGACATTAGAAAAATAAAAATATGAAATAAATTCTTGCCTTGAAGAGCTTTAAAAGATCTTTTGTTACTGATCTTTCCAGAAACTCTTTCTGTATAGAACTGTTGTTTTCTGATAGCATTTCAATAGCCATAGCACCTTTCACCTGCACACTGACTTTCCTTCCACGAAGAAGCTCAACCAGAGGACCAATTGCATCTGCATTTGCAATAGCATCCTGCATCATCTCATTCCCCCGAGCAAGTTCTGCAAGAGCTGCTGCAGATATAGCCTGTAGCACATCTTTAAATCCATAAAGTATTAGTCAAACAGCAATAAGAATCAACAATATTATCTCTTTTTTAGAAGACTGTATTTCAGATTAGTAGTATTGTGTTTCAGAGAGATGTTAGGGCTAATGCACTTGTAGTGTACTAAGACAGATAACTAAAATATTGATTAAACATTTAGTAATTTCTGTCCTCTGGATACTCTTCAAATGTAAATTCTAAGGCTACAGGTTGTCAGATGCCCCCAAAACGTCATCTGCATCACTAAAGTTGCCCTTTGAACTTTAATATAAGCCAGTGGTCACCAACCAGTAGATCAGGATCTACTGGTAGATCTTGGAGCCTCTGACAGGTGATCCTGACTGGTTTGGCTAAGAGGCTATCAAGTGCCAGCGCTTCAGCTGCCCCTCCTCCCACTGCTGCTCCTCTCCTGCTCTTTGCCTTGGATCTGCCCCCCACTCCCTGGGAGCCTCCTGCTTGCTGTGCAGAGCAGGGAGGAAGAGGAGGGACACTCATGTCAGGGTGCCTCCTCCACTCTGTATTCTATCTCCACAGAATGGATGGGAGGTCCAGGGCTTGGAATGGTGGGAGTTTGCTGGCTGCTTTTGAGAGTGGTGCAGGGCCAGGGCAGGGGTGAACCTGCCTTAGTCCTACTGCACCACAACCCAGGAGCCACCTGAGGTAAGCACTGTCCAGCTGGAGTCAGAATCCTGAACTCCTGCCCCAGTCATGAGCCCCGTCTTATACCCCAAGGCCCTGCCCTAGCTCTGAGCCCCTTGAATCCAAACTCCCTTACAGACCCTGTACACTGAGTCCCCTCCTGCACCCCAACTCCCTGCCCCAAGCTCAGCTCAGAGCCCGTCGCACGCTCCAAATCCCCTAATGCAAGACCAGGGCCTGTGTCCCAACCCTCTGCCCCTACCTGATGAAAGGGAGAGAGGATGGGGGAGGGAGGGAGGATGGAGTGAGCGGGGGCAGGGCCTCAGAGAAGGAGCACAAAGGAGGCGGGGCAAGGGTATTTGGGCCTGAGATAGATCCTTGATTGCACTTAAATTCAAAAAGTAATCTTGTGCTTTAAAAGGTTGGAGACGACTGATATAAGCTAAACTTGGTGATTGCATAAGGCAATTGCATAAGGTGATTGCATATCTTGATCTCATGGACAGGGGCGGATATAGGGCAGGGCGAATGGGGCGGCCGCCCCGAGCCCCGTGCTTCAGAAAGCCCCGCGCATGCGCCGTGGCGCCGCTGCGCATGCGCATGGAGTCACTGCACATGCGCCGTGGCAAAGGGGGGGCCCCGCGGAATTATGCTGCCCGGGGCACCGCAAAACGGTCATCTGCCCCTGCTCATGGAATCTTGCAAGAAGAAAATATCTGTGTAGGTCAAACACATGGGATATTGGGCAGAACACTTCTGGTAAGCTTTTTGCAGATAAATTATTAACCTTAATTTTGTATTAATATTGCATTACCACCATGTATACATTGTATATATATGACTTGTTTTCATATGCTTTGGGTTGTTATAATGAAAACCAAAGTATGAAAAAGAAAAAATAGTGAGCAAAATTCTATATCTATACAATTAGACTCAAATAAATTAAGTAGCATAGGATTCAACTGAGTTCAGAATTTTTCCTGCCAATCTACTTCCATATGTCTTTTCCTACAAGGTTTGCAAATTATTCTGTATTAAAGCATGATTTGTGAACAGATTTACCAAGTCTGAAGCCAATTTTCATATAACTTGCATAAAAACATTGAGAAAAACTAGTCTGTTTAAATAGCAAAACATTAACATGGACAAAAAGGACCTGATATGTGAAGCCCACTGAAGTCAGTGGAATTTTTTTTAACTGACTCTAAAGGCTTTGGATCAGCACCTACAGCAGTGGTCTCCAACCTTTTAAAGCATGAGATTACTTTTTGAATTCAAGTGCATTCCAAGATCTACCTCAAACCCAAATACCCTGGCCCCAACTCCTTTGTGCCCCTTCTCTGAGGCTCCTCCCCCTGCTCACTCCATCCTCCTCCCTTCCCCTATATTCCCTCACTTTCATCAGGAAGGGCCAGCGGGTTGGGGTGCAGGCTCTGGAGTTAGATTAAGAGAATTGGAGTGTGAAAGGGGCTCTGAGCTGATCTTAGAGCAGGCAGTTGGGGTGCTGGAGGGGTTTCTAGGTGCAGGCGCTGGGAGGGCATTTGGATGCAGGGGTGCTCAAGGCTAGGGTTGGGGCTTGGAGTGCAGGAGGGAGTTCATGACTGGGGTAGGGTTTCAGGATTTAGGCTCTGACTTGGCACTGCTTACATCAGGTGGCTCTTGGGTGATGGTGCAGTGGGGCTAAGGCAGGCTCACTCCTCCCCTGGCCCTGCACCACTCCCAAAGGCATCCAGCAAACTCCTTCCCAAGTCCTGTTGTGCCCCCACTCTGCTCTGTGGAAATAGTATAGAGGATGGGAGAGGGGGCACTTGATATCAGCACCCCTCTTTTCCCTCCCATATCCTGCACAGCAAGCTGGAGGCTCCAGAGGGTGTGGGGGGGAGGCATCTCCAAGGTAAAGAGCAGGAGTTGTGCAGCAGCGAGGGGGAAGGGGCAGCTGAAGTACTGGCACTTGGTAGCCTCTTGGCCAAATCTCTCAAGATCACCTGTCAGAGGCTCCAAGAACTACCAGTAGATCCTGATCTACTGGTTGGTGACCACTGACCTACAGCAATCAAGCAAAGATAGTACTCAGACAATTACTAGTGTAGAGATTTCCCCTTTTTTCAAAATGTCAACAGTAAGAATATTACATGAGCATGTAAAAATGAAAGTTTACCTGATTCTGAAGTTAGAAACTCAACAAGTGCTGGAATACCATGATGGTCCTTCACCGCACTTTGATTGTGTTTGTTCTGGATGCATAACACCCGGATACAATTTATTACATTAACTAACAAATCCTGTATTTTAATTTTCAAAAGATTTACCAAAGGAGGGATTCCACCCTAAGGAATGAAAAAGCATATGTCTGTATTATGGAATAATCCCAAAAAATTGCAATTATATTCCATGTGACTCACAGTTCATATAAATGAAGAGGATATCAAAAAGGTTTAGTCAACTATGAAAATTACCTCATACTGGAAAAGCAACAACTTAAGAAAAAAACAATCCTTTTAAAAATAATGTGAACATAACTAGCAGTTCCTGCATGAGGCTTACTGTGAAGAGGCGCGACCAACCCACACTAGGGTCTGCCCTCTTCCTTTCCTCTTTTCCACAGATTACCCGGCAGCAATACCTTGGTCAGGGCTGTCAAGGCTCCTCTTTAGGTTATTGCCCCGAGTGTGGTGTGAGGGGGACCTGGGCCCACCCTCTCTCCAGGCCCCAGCCCAGGGCCCTAAGGTGGGAGTATCCTTCCTGTCCACCCCCCCATCTGGCTGACAGGGCTAACCACCGTAACACGTCAGCCCACAAGCGGTGCTCCTGCCACCCGCCCTGGGCTTCTTCCTCACCCCGCTCGCCCTGCCTTTCCTCCAGTAGTGCCTCTAACCGGCCTCCAGCTCCCTCTCCTCTCCGGCCTTCTCCTCCTTTTTCCTCCTCCCCCCTTTGCACCGTCCTATCTTCCTTTTGAATGTCCCGTCCTCCTTCTGCGCATGCGCCGGCATCTTGCCTCCTCCCATCTCCCCTGCCCCCGCAGTCACTCACGGCCTTGTTCCCTCCTGCACATGCACTGGTGTCTTTTCCTCCGGCACCCAAGGTACATTTGCGACCGGCAGACGGGCCACCACTCCCTGGATTGGTCTCTGCTGCCAGCTTTTCTCCCGGCGCGGGGACAGGAGGGATCACCCCCCTGCCATCCTCACTTGGGACCCTCCCCGGGGTCGTGCGGGGTTCTGGTACCCCATCACACTTACCAGTTCAGTAATGACATTTTGATTATCGTTGAACTGGGCAATATCATATAGGATAACAGCACAACGAGACTGCAGTTCAGGTTCACCAGAACCCAACAACTCAATTAATACTGAAATGCCTCCTGCTTCTACTAAAGCTTTAGAAATGGCAATGTGTGGTGAAATGTTACTCAGCACCCCTGATGTTATACATAGCTGCTTTATGTGATGGCCTTTCAACAGATTGATTAAAGAGGGGATAGCACCTACAATAAATAAGAAAACCAAACCATTATTGTAGTCACCTTTACAGGCATCCAATATCACATTTGCTTCTTGTTTATTTTAAACTGAGTTTATGAGAATAACATTAAATATTTTAGTAATTTCAAATACAAAAACAAATGCTAGGGACATTTAACATGACATGACCTAAAATGTAACACACCAACAAATACTACAATCTAAAAGAAAATGTCACCAGGATTAAAACACATTTTTAAAAATCATTTTTGATTACCAAAAATTGAAAAAAACCCATATCTACTATTTTGTGAGTGTCCCCTGCTGCTGTACAGTATAAATTCAATAGCAAAGAAAATGCCGCTGCAGCACAAACAGATAGCAAAAAACCAACACCAGACACCCAACAAAATACTACTTTTGCCAAATTAACAAGGATTAGATTAAAAATTCCCCTGCATAGGTTTAAAGGCCCCAGAAAGACCTTTCTTTCTTTCAGCTTTTACTGCTTCTGCCCACTCTTGAAATATTAATGCCTTCTTTACCATTATTGAAACTGTCCTTCAAATTGAACAGCTTTTTTATACTTGTGACCCATATTAGAGTTGCATTTAATAGGTATATTATATCTTCTATTTTGAACTGAACTGAACTGAAATGATCACAGCAGTTTTGCTGAATGTAGTATCTTTGGAGACTCTATTTCTGCATTAGTATTGTTGATAATAAGGGGAAGGAGTCCAGGAGAGCTGGCAGTATTTTAAAAAAGCCTTATTAAAGGCACAGGAAGAAACCATTCTAATGAGCAGTAAGAGAAGCAAATATGGTAGGCGACCAGATTGGCTTACCAGGGAAATCTTTGGTGAGCTTAAACATGAAAAGGAAGCTTAAAAGAAGTGGAAACTTGGACAGATGACTAGGAAAGAGTATAAATATATTGCTCAAGAATGCAGGGGAGTTATCAGGAAGGCAAAAGCGCAATTGGAATTGCAGCTAGCAAGGGATGTGAAGGATAACAAGAAAGGTTTCTACAGGCATGTTAGCAATAAGAGGGTGATCAGAGAGGGTGTGGGGCCCTTACTGGATGAGGAAGGTAACCTAGGGTGTGTCTAGACTACATGCCTCCTTCGACGGAGGCATGTAGATTAGCATACCAATCGACAAGGCTATTATTAATTAATTTCACCTTAATGAACCAATTGGGCTTCCCATCTTCTAACCAAAACCACAACAAACAACAGCCAAGGCTAAGTTTCATCTCCTCAATGTGCACAGAGCATTAGCATTTTACATAGACAGAACAAAATCCTTTCGTAAATCAGAGCATCTATTTGTTTCCATTTCAGACCATACAAAGGGGAAACCACTATCATCACAGAGGATCTCCAGCTTGGTGGTGGCATGTATTAAACAATGTTATGCCCTAAGAAACGAGCCTTTGCCTCAGATCCCAAGAGCTCACTCCACCAGAGCTATGGCAACATCAATAGCATTTTTACGAGGGGTTCCCCTTAAAGACATTTGCAGAGTGGCCACCTGGTCAACCAATGATACCTTTATGAGACATTATGCAATTCTGCACTCTCAGGCACAAGATTCACTTCTGGCCTCCACGGTCCTATCTACCATAGTCAGACCATAAATCCGAGACCCACCTTCCTTTGGTTTTGAATACTGCTACATATTCACCAACAGTGGAGCACCCACGGGGACACCACTCAAAGAAGAAGAGGAAGTTACTCACCTTGTGCAATAATGATGGTTCTTTGAGATGTGTGTCCACGTGGGTGCTCTACTGTTGGTGACAGGCTTGTCCCGGTACCACAGCTCAGAGTTTTAATGAGCAGTCATCAGCTGGACCGCACATGCGCAGCTCACGCTTCAGGCCAATCGCGCCTTTTGATCTCTTGTGCAGTCTGGCTCCTGCCAGTTCCTCGAGTTCATTATATGAAAGATATAATAGAGAATCTGAAGCAGGGAGCAGAATGGGCTGTGGAGCACTCACAGGGACACACATCTCGAAGAACCATCATTATTGCACAAGGTGAGTAACTTCCTCTTCTTCTTTGAGTGGTGTCCCCGTGGGTGCTCCACTGTTGGTGAATATGTAGCAGTATTCAAAACCAAAGGAAGGTGGGTCTCGGATTTATGGTCTGACTATGGTAGATAGGACCGTGGAGGCCAGAAGTGAATCTTGTGCCTGAGAGTGCAGAATTGCATAATGTCTCATAAAGGTATCATTGGTTGACCAGGTGGCCACTCTGCAAATGTCTTTAAGGGGAACCCCTCGTAAAAATGCTATTGATGTTGCCATAGCTCTGGTGGAGTGAGCTCTTGGGATCTGAGGCAAAGGCTCGTTTCTTAGGGCATAACATTGTTTAATACATGCCACCACCAAGCTGGAGATCCTCTGTGATGATAGTGGTTTCCCCTTTGTATGGTCTGAAATGGAAACAAATAGATGCTCTGATTTACGAAAGGATTTTGTTCTGTCTATGTAAAATGCTAATGCTCTGTGCACATTGAGGAGATGAAACTTAGCCTTGGCTGTTGTTTGTTGTGGTTTTGGTTAGAAGATGGGAAGCCCAATTGGTTCATTAAGGTGAAATTAATTAATAATAGCCTTGTCGATTGGTATAGTGATCCTACCCCTCACGGATGCCATTAGAGCAGCTAGCTCGCTCACCCTGTGGGCGGAAGTGATTGCTAATAGAAAAACCACCTTCAGTGACATCGTATGCAGAGAACAGGTAGCAAGGGGTTCAAAGAGGGTATGAGTCAAAGTATCCAACACCATTTCTAAGTTCCACAGAGGTGGTGGTGGTCTGTGCAGTGGGTATAGATTAGTAAGATCCTTTAAGAATCTCCTTGGAGTAGGGTGCGCAAAGCCCGAGAGCCCTTGTATAGGTTGATGAAAGGTGGTGATAGCAGCCAAATGCACCTTTATTGATGCGAGAGCCAGACCGGAGTCTCTAAGGGTACGTCTAGACTACATGCCTCTGGCAACAGAGGCATGTAGATTAGACTACCCGGCATAGGAAAATGAAGCAGCTATTTAAATAATTGCCGCTTCATTTAAATTTAAATCAGCTGTTTGTCGGCTCAGCGCGGTAATCTGGACGCTCTGCGGTCGACATCAAAGGCATTTGTTGACCTCCCAGGTAAACCTCATCCCAGGAGGCATACTGTAGTCTAGACGTACCCTTAGAGACAAAGTATAGTCTAGGACATTCTCCAAAGATGTCAAGGTTAGTTTCAAATTATGATCAGAACACCCATGCTGGAATCATTTGTGCAGGTAAGTGACTCGGGTAGACTGTTTCCTGCTATGTAAGAGGACATCTTTCACACGTTGTGAACACAGTGATTCTCCTTGGCTGAACCAAGAAGGAACCATGCTGTCAGTTTGAGTATGTGTGGCCGAGGGTAGAGTAGGGTCCCCGATCTCTGAATCAGCATATCATAGGGTACTGGAAAATGGTAGGGAGGTTGAGGAGACATCTGATAAAGGTATGGGAACCATGGTTGCAGTGGCCAAAAAAGTGCTAAGAGTATCACTGTGGCTTTGTCTTTGTGAATCTTCTCCAGGACTCTGAAGACGAGAGGAACTGGAGGAAATGCGTATAGGAGAGGTCCCTTCCAGGATTGGTGAAAGGCGTCTGCCAGAGATCCGTGCCCGATGCCTGCTCTGGAGCAATACTGATGGTACCTTCTGTTTGTGCTGGAGACAAAGAGATCTATTTCTGGTAAGCCCCATAGATTAAATATAGGGTGAAGGTATCTGGGGTGTATCTCCCAGTTGTGATCCGGTGTGAAATGTCTGCTCATTTGGTCTGCCATCACATTGTCTACTCCTGGTATATATGAGGCTATTAGTGTGACACCCTTCCGTATGCACCAATTCCATAAGCGAACTGCCTAGGTACATAGGGAATGTGATTGACAGCCCCCCTGACAATTGATATAATATATTGTTGATACATTGTCGGTTAAAATTCTGACTACTCTGCTAGTGATGCGTGTTTCAAAATGTTTGCATGCATTGAAAACAGCTTTGAGCTCTGAAAGGTTGATGTGGTAAATTGTCTGTTCGGTGGACCATCTTCCCTGGGCTGACATTGTGCCCATGTGTGCCCCTCATCCAATGAGGGATGCATCTGTGGTAATATGTATCAAAGGTTGGTCTTGGTAGAAAGGTACGCTTGCCAGAAGATTTCTTGGATCGTTCCACCATATAAGGGACTGAAGTACGTGCTGTGGAGGAGTTACCCGCTTGTGTACTTGCCCTTTTTGATGGGAGTAAACCGTGGTGATCCAGTGTTGTAGACAGCGAAAATGTAGGCGTATGTGAGAGACCACATATGTAGTAGCAGCCATGTGGCCCATTAGTTGAAGGCATGTGAGCATAGGGACCATGGGACTCACTGTGATAGTGGTAATAAGGTCCTGGATTGCTCGAAATCTTTGGTTGAGTAAGTACTCTCTTTCTGTCAGAGCATCTAGTCGAGCACCTATAAATTCTGTATTTTGTGGAGGTGACCGAGTCGACTTCTGTATATTGAGGAGCAGGCCTAAAAGCTTGAATACTCGTTTTGTTGTAGATATCATACGAAGCATTTCTTTTTCTGATGTGCCTTTGACAAGGCAGTCATCGAGATAAGGAAATATGATGATGTGGTGTCTGCGTAGATACGCTGCCACAACTGCCAGGATCTTCGAGAAGACTCTGGGAGCCAAGGAAAGACCAAACGGAAGTACTTGGTATTGGTAATGTTCTAGTCCTACCGTAAAGTGGAGGAAGCGTTTGTGTGCTGGGTGACTCGTTATATGGAAATACGCATCCTGCAGGTTTGAGGGCTGCTAACCAGTCTCCTTTGTTTAATGCTGGGCTTATAGTCGCGAGGGTAATCATTTTGAATCTTTGCTTGCAAAGGTGACGATTCAGCTGTGCAGGTCCATGATAGGCCTCCATCCTCCCGATTTCTTTGGGGTAAGGAAGTACAGTAAACTTCCGATAATCCGG